TTAGTTTACTTAGTACTACGAAACCAAAAACAAAGAAGTAAATAAAGTAATAAGTAAATAGAATAACTAAAAATAAAATAACAACTAACAAGAATAAACTACTATATATATATATATATATATATATATATATATATAGGGCAATGATTTCATGCAACTGTTGTATCATAGTATAATGCAACAATCTTCGCAAACCAGGTTAGGGTCATTTGTTTGATCCAAATTTTGAAATATACACTCTTTTCATTCTAATGAACATTCACAAAAAAAAAAAATTTGAAAATGGAATCTAGAAAGTATTTTTTTAACTCAATTAACATAAGCCGTCCATTTTGATAAGACGCTTAAATCTAGGCCTTTTCTTTTCCATTTTTTTTAGATGGCTTCATTATCATTAGATGAACAATGTTAAAAAAGAAAAAAATGATTTTGAGTTTGTAACGGCTAAGATCTTGAAATTCACCAAGTGAATGGCCCAGATTCGTTGTTGGAGGGGACTAATTTTGACCATATCTAGGGTTCAAATTGAACTTTTTTTTTTTTTGGTTTTGATTATTGAGATGAAGAGAGAGTGTGCAAAATTTTGGGTCATACAATACCACAAACATAGTTTTACAGTACTTCACCTACAGCTTTATCACCGTTCAAAGTTTATCACACGGTCACCAATGTCTGATAGCGTTTGAATTTTAATATTTGTTTTACAAATCATAATGATCTAAAATTTTGCAAGTGTGTACGCCTTAGTGAGATGCACATGAATAAAATGTAAAACAAATAATTTGAATGATAAAAATTACCCCTATAAAGTTTCAGGGGTAATTTTGTCATTTTATTTTATGTCTATTATTTTTTAATATTTTATTTTGGTGCGACTTGATCATATGTACACACGCCCCAAAGTTTAGATAAATCTGATTAGTACAATAATTATAAAAATTCAAATACTACTGGACAACTATGACTATGTGATGAACTTTAGAGATGCTTCTATATATATATATATAAACCAATGAAAATAAGAAACTTAGGGTTAACTAGGGGCTAGTATAAGTTAATGGCACTCTCCACCAATTGAAAAGCAAGAACCACAAAGTGTCACATACAAGAAAAAACCAATTTGTCAATTGGAGACCAACGCAGATAGAAGAACATGAGAGAATCTGCATTCGATGAAATAACAAAATCCACCCCCAAAAAGTAGGAAACAAATGTAACATAGTTTTAACAGAGCACCACATTTCCCATACAACGCTCCACAGAAAACTCAAAGAGATGAGGGCACCAATATCATGGAAAAACCCATACCAATATATAGCACAAATCTTCACCTAAGAAACTAATGCCACAATGGGGTAAAGAAGACAATAATTTTGAATGAACACCCTGAAGACACATAAATAAATAAAGAAATTCCACATAGAGACGAACCAAAACATCCAGATAAAAAACAATAATGCATCATAACACAAAATAAAAGGAAAACGATGGAAGACTACCACATTTCCCAATTAACTCACCCAACAAAAAAGAAAAACAGAAAGCAGCACAAATGAAATCAACCCAAAGTGAATTTGAGGGATGAACGACACCAGCAGAATTTTCTTTTGAGTAATTAAAATTATCTATTATCTATGACAATACGCAATCCAAACCATCCCACATATTAGTAACATTTCCTTTTAAAAATTTCACACCTTGAAGCTAATTGGGATATAAATTCAACATATTATGTCATTGATGGAATATATTAGATTGCTCATAATATCTTTTGCAGTATCACAATAGAGGAAAATGTTGCTTCCATGAATTAATTTGCTCGGATACTATCCGATGACACCGGTTTCACAAAGTTACATTTCAATCATTTAGAAAGCACAAATTACATTGGCTATCTGTATCATGTGTTCATTCCCTTACCTACTTCTCTAACAATGGCCATTTAGATGCATCAGTGAATTACAAAAACACAGCACAAACGAACAGATCAACTTAGTAGGAGACCCTAATTTTCATCCCAAGAAAAGATGAAATAGCAGAAAATTAAAACAATCAAGTTCTCAACCTAATTATACCTGATTCATCGCAAGGCCCAGAAACCCTAAAATTGCTTAGTTTGAGCTTTAGGTCACCAAGGAAACCCTTGATCGTATCAGAATGTGAAGAAAATGAAGCCACAACCTCTGAGAAACGGTAACTAAGATCCATCAAATGGCGATCCAAATCCAAGCATTCTTTATTCAGGTTGTCCTGAACCGTAGTGATTTTGAGAAGATCATCTAGGGTTTTGAAGTTGTGATCTAAAAATTCCGCCATGGATGAGGAGAGCTTGGAGGAAGGGGGAAAGAGAAGCAGATCCGCCATTGATGAGCAGGTAACCCTAACAGGTATAGTGTGCAGCCATCAAACGTAGAACTACACGCCCATTGTTTCTGCTCAGTTCTCACAATTGCGATTTAAGTCATCAAACTTCGCACTTTTTTCAAAGGGTGAGGTCCGCATTTTTTTTTTCAAATCTAACTAACTATAAATTTTAGGACACGGTTTCTATTCAGCCTACCCTGCATATTTTAGAAATGCGGGCTTGGCCATAAATATAATTTTTAAATATAATTTTATTCTAATATTGAAAAAATGCATAATCTTTAACATGGACATCATAAATATGAAAAAAAAAAAAAAGTTTATATAAAAATGCAACCTTATAATGTAGAACTACGGATGCACCTCAAAAATCCATCGAAAAATGTAGTCTTAATGTTAAAAAACCTTTTGATTGATCATCTCGATATCAAGATGTATGGCCATGAAAAATAAAAAGATTTTAAATCTTAGAAATAATGCATTTTACAACATATTATCTACGCTGTCCATTTTCAAGGGTCTCATATGTTTATAAATCTACTTGATTTTAACCATTTTTTAAATTTAAAATTTTATAATTAAATATAAAAATAGATTTTGAGATAAT